AACAGGATAACAAGAGCGGAAACATAACGATCACTCAAGTAAAATATAACTGAAGACAGCTAGAAATGCTCACTTCCGCAATGCTTTTGAAAGTGCGTCCAATAATGTCGACTTGTCCAGTCAGAATAGCCGAATCACGTTTCCCGAGAATCCCGAGGCATCGATACATGAGCGACAAAGCTACTCCATTCTGAAAATAACATCTTAAACCGATGAATACCCAAAACATAAGACTTTTCCTTTGAAAACTTGCCTTAACTTCTGCTTCCTGGATTTTCTGAACTCTGTCAAAAAGTAGAGGACCAAAGTTTTTCTGAGCTGCTGCAGGCATATTCTCTATGACTTTGATGAGAAAATTCAACGCAGCTACTAGTAATTTCGATTCCGTTCGCGAAACATGCGTTAGCCCATCCAGACACACCTGGTAATAAGAGATCAGTGGTCAAGGAGATCGTTGATGAAAGAACTTCTCAAACAACTTTTGTGACAACAATACCTTCATGTTATTCATATAAGCTACTGGAGCAATATTTGATCGTGTAAGATATTGTAGAATTTTTTGCTTCATCGCCGCACAGACAGGGGAAACGGTTTGAACATTCCCAATCACTGGCTTAGTGGGCGTAGTTATGCCAAGATAGCTCGCCATTAGTTCATCCACAACGACGCGGTTGTCCACGGAAACATTACTAAATGAAAGATCTCGTAGGTGAAATAGTGGAGAAAAAGAGTGCCAACTTACATATCCATCTTCTTCATGGCACTTTCAGCAGCGTCACTTACTCTAAAAACTTGAATCATGATTAAGCTTGTAGTTGTAAGCAAAACAATAATTATATTATAAATACGCTAAACAACGTACGCTTCTATACTTTGCCCTGTTCCCAACACTATAATAGAGAAGATCGCTTGATCTTCAAACAGCCCCGAAGTGAGAAGTTTGATAACTGCCAGTTTGATCTACAATTGCAAGATAGTATTACTCAAAAAAAAGTTCTCTTTTACAGTAATTTCTACAGGTCCATTGCCACCTCGTTTCACTTCATTTATTTCAGCAAGTTTAGAATTTCGACTAATATTTAGTTCATCGCCAAGAGATTAGTCGAAGCGACTTTAAGAGAAAGAAGACATTTTACTCTAAGAAGTGATATTTACCCTTGGTGGTTGGTAGTTTGGGGAAAATGATATTACCTGAACAAAACTGTATTTCTTGCTCATGACCTTCTCAGCAATCATAACAAACTCTTCTGTGCTCATCCCATAAGTGAACGCCTTTTTCGAATTCTTTATATACGCGCAAGTTTGCTCCACATCTTCTCTAAATTAAATATCATTTAAAAATTTCCAAGGATGAAGCGGCCAACTCACATTGAGTTTACATCAAAGGCCATGATGCAGTAGAAGAATCGCAGTAGCAAAGTCTTGAGTTCAGCTGGAAGCGAGAAAGCCGGCCATGTGTGCTGATCTTTTTGAGATAAAGCTAAGAAACCCGGAATGCAGAGAGATAACAGTCTAAACGGGAAAATTGATGATGGATTACCGGAACTGGAAGTAGTGTTAGAATGGTTAGGAAACTTACTCGACGTTTTGAATGTGTTCATGCGCCTTCTCAGAGAGCGCTTCGAACAAAAGAGGTAGTAACTCTATCTGCTGGTCCTCAATAAGATTTAAACTAGCATATCGTAAATACACCAGGGACAGGTTCTGAAAAGTATTACTTTTCTTAATATGATTGTGAAGAAGAATTGTATATTCCATTGCAAAATGAATATACAATTCTTCATACAAGTTTAAAAAAACATTTTCAGAACCGAAAATTACGTTTTTTTTTCCTTATGTACTTGCAAAACTTCTCTGAATAAAGAAAAATTAGGAAATGAACTGGAAAAGAAACCAACAGATGCAATAGGGCCCTTCTCCTTCACCAAAGCTAGAAGTTCCTTGACAGGATAAGTTATTGATGCATTGGACTTTACTCGACGATTATACTGACTGAGAATTTCGCGAATCTGAAATTTATTCCAATAGCTGTTCAAGAAGATTTTGTATGGCTATGTACCTTTCCAACTGTTCCTGGCTCAGATCCAGCTATTTCTATTAGTCGTATAAGGTATTTTTCCGTGAATTTCTGAAGCTGACTATCCGACTCGATTAAAGCAAAACGTAGATGTGTTCTCTCCACTGAAGTAAAAAAAAGAAAGTTCAAAGGTCACTTCTTTAAGTCAGAATATAATTGGATGTGCAAGGATATAATTTACAGTATTCGTTGATGGATATTCCTTCTTCTTGCATTGAACTATTCGGGCTTGCCTGCATGTTCAGTAAGTCAATCAAGCTCGACTATATGTACAATAGAGAAGCTAGGTCTTGTGGATGAGCCTATAAAGACTGTGATCTTTTTTCACTATGGTCATCAGACAAACTGTTATTGGAGGAAAGGAACAAATACATAAGGACAACCTCAAAGAGATAACTTTAAAAAGAAAAAAAAAACAAAAAACGATTGAGATCACACAAAAACAC